CACTCTATCTAGGAGGCTCAGTTTATATGGATAGTTTTTATTTTTTACAACAAGCTGCAATGAAAACAAGCAGAAAAGAAATAAAAGGAACAACTTTATACTTCTTGTCTTTTTATAAAATGTAAGAAGTGGAAGTAGGCTGAAAAATAATTACTCAAGTAAAGTACAGATACCCAACAATTGTACTTCAGTAGAGTAGCAAAGTATTTGTACTTGGTTCCTGTCCAGCTGGGCTGTAAGGATACTGTTCCTCCAGCAGCATCCTGTGGATCAGCTCTCTGTTCTCGGGGCTGATGGAGCCGTCCAGCTCCCAGGCCTGGAAAACAGCACCGGGTCAGAACAAGAACCCACAGCTGGCCGAACTACAGCCGGACTTTAGGAGCTCCTACCAGCATACAGGAGCTGCTTCTCCCCGCAGACTGGATGAACTGGTCCTGGACGAACCCTCCTGGGTCCTGCTGACTGGAACAAGAAGACAACAAGCTGCCAGTGAAGCGCGGCAACCTCAGAGTCCAGCTAGCTAACAACCCGCAGAACCGGAAACGGTTCTGTTCAGTGGCGGTACTTCACTGACAGGCAGCAAAGAGAGGATTTAACCAGATAAAGTTTGTTTTCTTACCTAAAATTACTGTCAAAGTCGTCTCCTTCGATGTCAACATCCACTTCGTCCTCCATATTGTTTCTTCTTCTTCTTCTTGGTTATTTTTTGGCAGTTGTCAAACAACGTTAAGATGCATTACCGCCACCTGCTGGTGTGGAGTGTACACTACAACAGCTCTCAAAAATAAAAATAAAAATAAAATAAACTATTCTTTCATACAATGGAGTCTGTCTTAAATGCTTTAACAACAATTGAAAGGTTTCAGAATTTGAATTACTTCGTAGTATTTCTATAATATCAAATCTTATTTAGATTTCATTGAGTCTTTTAATCAATTGATTTCTTTCATTTTGGTATTTTTTGCAATGTATTAAAACATGTTCTATATCCTCATCTTCTCCACAGTAATCACATTTTCCAGTATTATGTTTTCCAATTATAAATAATGATTTATTTAACCCTGTATGTCCTAATCTGAGTCTTGATATGACTGTTTCCTCCAGCACTCCTCATTTCTCCCACTTTTCGTTGAATTTTATACAACCATCGACCTTTTCTTTCTTCCTCCCATTGTTTTTGCCATTTCTGTCTCATTTTCATCTTTATAATGCTTATTATTTCTGTTTTACTGAATTTTATTTCATATCAACTACTTTATTTTTGGTAGCCTTTTTTTCTTCTTTATCTGTCATTTCATTTCCTTTTATTCCAATGTGTGCTGGTATCCAGATGAATGTTACTATTAATCCCATCATTTTAATCCTGTACAGTGTTTGTTGTATTTCAAATAATATGTCTGATCTGTGGTTTAGTATCCTCAATCCATTGAACAGCTAATAATATTGCGATCATTTCTCCTGTATATACTGATAATTTATCAC